CCCCACCCCTACGCACTAACCCCTCAGCGTTTGCTGCCTCTCAACAGAGAGGGGTTGCAGTGACTTGACCTGCGGCTGTCGCAGCCTGTCGTTGCTAAGATATCTCCACTAGGTCAGCCTGGTGCCTTCAGCCCGGCAGACTTCAACGGGGCTGAGCTGGAAGGCACTGATTGGGAGCTTTATCAGCGAGCTTGTAAAAGCAGCAGGATGCAGAAAGTCATCTCATCTCAGATTTGGAGCAGAGCCTGTGTGTTTCTGTGGAAGCAACGCAGCCAGAGTTTGAGTGCTTGAAGGGCTTTGACAGACAGGAAGTGCCAAAACTATTAATCTGAGCCCTGCGTGATGACAGATGGAAAAGCAGATACGGTGCATAAGAAGATCCGATCTGAGCGTTAATTGTGATTYATGCATGTGAGGGGCTTCTTAAGTCTTAATTTAAAAAAAAGAAGAAGAAGAAACCTTCGGGGTCTCAGTTCAGTTTCTTTGTTTGGGACAAATCTGTGTCAGAGAACAGCCCAGAGTGTCTTTCTTTCTTCTTTTCAACCTGACTGTTTCAGGAGGATTTCAGTCACGGGCTCCTGGTTTGAGCTCTTCACCACCACCTCATCGAGGCCATCACTGAGCTGTGACAGTCCTCGGAGAGAAGATAAACTTTCTCTCTCTCTCTAAAAAAGGGGGGGTCAATATTACATTATTAATGCCATCACTGCCTCTCACCGAGCTGGACCGTCTCACACGCTGGCGCCACATTCGGCCTCCTCTTCTCGCACCACGCTGGCGTCGCAAACGACTGCTTCTTTGCACCCCTGTTCCACATTCCGACCCCAGTGCAGAACGTCTCCTTTTTTAGGACCATGTCTGTTTGTATAAGAATGAGCTAATGTTTGCAGTCTAACTTGCTGAACTTTGGCCTTTTCCAGGACAAACAATGACTTGTGGAGCAAGTTCAAAAACATGCGAGTAGCTGTTTGTTTCAGATTAACAGGATTTAGTTAATGCCAAGAGCATGACACCGAGGAAAATGTTGGAGTGGGCGTTAGAGACAGACAGGAGACGGGGGGTGGGGGGGGGCTGAAAGTGATTACTCGGATCCAAATCGATACCCAAGCACAAGCCTGAGGAAATGGGAAGTTTGGCCGCGTACGTTCGCTGTGGCACGCCGCCGTGCCGAGAGCTGACATGGAGCCTGCGTGTCTTTAGACGGCACCAAAGTGCACTTTGTCTGCACGCTGACAGAGGAGGGCAGGATGTGACCCATGGTTACTCATCTGAGACAGAAAGAAAACAGTTTGTCAGACCAACAAAAACCCAATTCAACGTGCAGCGTGCAGGAGGAGGAGGAGGAGGAGGAGGAGGAGGAAGCCCGGGGCAGCAAATAAATGAAATATTTATGGGTGAAAAGGAGCACGGAGTCACAAGAAGCTCTACTCAGGGACATGGCGGCTTACGTAAGCTTTATGGTGCATTTAAAACACCTTTACCTGCAGAGCCATGCAAAGGCCTAAAACATGGCCCTCCTTTTAAGCTTAAACTGTTTATTTTCTGCAGCAAAACCCCTAAGAGTTCAAACATAGTATATGCAATGACAGTAAACAAATTGATTACTTTTATGTTTGTTCTTCTAACAGTCGTAACAGAGTAAAGCTGAATGGGGGAACTCCATCAGGATGAACTTCTCTAACTGAATGAAAAAAAAAATCAGCATTTCTGAAGTGCTTCAGTTGTTTCCCTGGTAACTAATCCTCAGGCATCTGGATCTCAGGGGAGCCCTGTGTTCTGAGTTGCCCTTGCTCCTTGGCCCGGTGCAGAAATCCACACAAAGGCTCATTTTGTGCGCAACAAAGGGCCAAATGAAACCCCATCTGGACCACTCCTGGTCAGGCAAAATTCCCACATCTTTCTGGACATAAAACCCCCCCAGAAAACTTCAGAAAGGACTTTAACAAGAAAAATAAAACAAAGGGATAAACTTTGATTTCTGTAATCAGTTTCCTCTTTAAGTTTAAGTTAATTATAAAGTAATTAACAGWCAGCCTTCTCATGATGGTTTATCATTTTCACCCACAGAACAGATTGCTTCAAACTGCAGGGGATACTTTTTTTTTTTTTCCATTTGACTAGAATCTACATTTTTTGTTATTTAAAAGTGAAACATCTTTAAAATTAACATTTTAAAAAAAAAACTTCCCAGTGCGTCTCACCGGTGGTCAGCGTGCTGCTACAGGACCAGTCCACGGAGCTGACGGGCTTCCAGCAGGACACCCACAGCGACAGGGAGTACTGGTCATCCGCGGTGACCCACGCCGGGCTCACCATGGCCCCGACGTCCAGACACAGCGCGAGGAGGACGCACACGAGACCCACCAGCTTCAGGGGCGTCAGCGCTGACACCCGGACCTCCTCCGCGCCGCTCACGGACGAAGGCATGCCTCAAAAATCATTCAAAAAAAAAAAAAAACCTGAACGGATGAGAGGAAAAACAACATGTGTGGGTCTGCGTGGTTCCTCTGGGTCCATAAACTGAGTGCTTCAAGTTCAGGGTGGTCCTGCGGGATACAGGGTGTCTGAGAGCGCGTCCTGGAGTGTAGGGAGGGGGGAGGACCCTGCTACAGCTACACTGCTGCTGCTGCTGCTGCTGCTGCTGCTGCTGCTGCTGCTGCTGAGCACCCAGCTCTGTCTGACAGGACTGAGCTGAACATCAGTGAAATAACGGGGCTGCACCTGCAGGGTCCTAGTGCCTCTCCATCAGGGGTGTAGACTACATTAGCCTGCAGTCTTTTTTTTTTTTTTTTTTTTTGGATGATCTGTAATTTAACCAATTTTTTTTAATCTTAACTTTTACTTTTTTGCATTCAAAATATAAAAAAGGATACTTTCACTTCTTTACACACCTCATTGCTACAGTTTTGAAGAGAACCCGACTAGCAACATTAAACATTATTTGATAAACATATCAGGGGCGGTTCTAGGGGCGGGGCCACAGGGGCATTGGCCCTTTCTGAAATTTGATTGGCCCATACATGTCAACCTCTTCGAACGTTTACATGTATAAAAAGCCTCAAAAATCCGTAAATTTTGCTAATTTTGTGATGTTATTTATTGTTTTTTAAATCATCCTACAGGCTCTGACATGTTAGATAAATTTGAAAATGAGGTTTTGAAAAAAATCCGAAAGACTTGAAAAAAATCCGTGAGATTGCTCTATACGTCCGTACACCTACAAAATGACRTAAAATCCTTATAATTTACGGACAATCCGTACAAGTTGACATGTATGTTGGCCCCCTGAAGTGCCCTGTCCTGTCACTCATCTGTCCTTTGCCCAAGAGAGATGATGCTGGGTGCAGTTCCATGTCCAAACACTACAGACCAATAGAAATGTTCAGCATGAATCAAGCTGATAGAAGTGTTTTTCTGAAAATTTGAACAATCCTGCAGAAAAAAATCTCTCAACTCACCAGTGATGACTAGATTTTCTCACATGCTGTGTTTGAGAGTATTATATCTATGTACATTAAAAATGCACGTAAAATTGGTAAGGAGAATTTACTGTGCACACTATATATACACCTTACCAAAACCAGGGATTTGTGTGCAAGAATACTGAACAAATACTTGGCCCCTCTATGAATATTGTGGCCCCTTGATGACCCCTTACTGAAAAAAAATCCTAGATCCACCACTGTAAACATTTACATCAACTGTAAAACAAAGACTGTAAAAATACTGTAGGTTGTTTGGTTTTTAGGCTTGCATTAAAAATGGCTGTGTCCAAATTCAGAGGCTGGGTCCTCCRAAGGCCGAATTTGTCAGCTGCTTAAGTCACAGCACCGCCGGAGGATTTCCAAATTCAATGGGGCCGAATCCAATAAATGTGTCCTTCTTTTACCCCGATCTGAAGGACGGTCCAATGGATCTTTGTCGGCCCATCATATCACATAATGCATTGCGAGCCCACCAGAGATTTTTTTCTGCTATAATGGCGGACAAAGCGAGAGAAAGGAATACAGTTTTGAATAAGAAACTGAAGTATAAAACTTAAAAGTTTCAAGCGGTTGTGTTGTTAGTGCTTTTGTAATTTGTATAGATACGTTTTTAAATATTATTGTCAAAAATAAAATGAGCTTGTGTAGAGCTAAATAAACATGCACCTACGGACGGGCCCCTTAGATCTTCTAATATTGCCTTTAATCTAATTGTGTCCTTTTATGACACTAATAATCCACATGTATTGATATTTTTTTCCAATTTCAATTTATTTTTGCTTTTGTTCAGTGTCATGTTTGCTAGGCGACAGGACGTGGGAGTAAAGACAGGAGGCCGTCCAAATTCACTGCCAATTTTTTCCAAACTTTGCGATCTACCAAATACCCGGCCCAACTAGACCGGGTAGGGCGGGTCTTTCGGAGGACCCAGCCTCTGAATTTGGACACAGCCATTGTCACATGGATGGGGCCATTTTGTTAACACTGCAAAGCACACTGTGACCAAATTCAGGGGATGCATC